GATCTTTGACAAACCTGACAAAAACAAGCAATGGGGAAAGGATTCCCTGTTTAATAAATGGTGTTGGGAAAACTGGCTAGCCATGTGCAGAAAGCTGAAACTGGACTTCTTCCTTACACCTTATACAAAATTAACTCCAGATGGATTAAAAATTTAAACATAAAACCTAACACCATAAAAACCTAGAAGAAAACCTACACAATACCATTCAGGACATAGGCAAAAGGAAGGGCTTCATAAACACCAAAAGCAATGGCAACAAAAGCCAAAATACACAAATGGGATCTAATTAAACTTAAGAGTTTCTGCACAGCAAAAGAAACAATCATTAGAGTGAACTGCCAACCAACAGAATAGGAAAGAATTTTTGCAATCTAACCATCTGACAAAGGGCTAATATCCAGAATCACAAAGAACTTAAACAATTTACAAGGAAAAAAAAAAACATCAAAAACTGGGTGAAGGATATGAACAGATACTTTTCAAAAGAAGATACTTATGCAGCCAACAAACAGATGAAAAAAAGTTCATCATCACTGGCCATTAGAGAAATGCAAATCAAAGTCACAATGAGATACCATTTCATGCCAGTTAGAATGGTGATCATTAAAAAATCTGGAGACAACAGATGCTGGAGAGGATGTAGAGAAATAGAAACACTTTTAGACTGTTGGTGGGAGTGTAAATTAGTTTAACTGTTGTGGAAGACAGTGTGGTGATTCCTCAAGGATCTAGAAAGAGAAATACCATTTGACCCAGCAATCCCATTACTGGGTATATAACCAAAGGATTATAAATCATTCTATTATAAAGACACATGCACACATATGTTCATTGTGGCACTGTTTATGATAGCAAAGACCTGGAACCAACCCAAATGTCCATCAATGATAGACTGGATAAAGAAAATGTGACACATACACACCATGGAATACTATGCAGCCATAAAAAGTGATGAGTTTATATCCTTTGCAGGGACGTGAATGAAGCTGGAAATCATTACTCTTAGCGAACTGACATAAGAACAGAAAACTAAACACCACAAGTTCTCACTCATAAGCGGGTGTTGAACAATGAGAACACATGGACACAGGGATGGGAACATCAAACATTGGGGCCTGTTGGGGGATGGGAGAGCTAGGGGAGGGATAGCAGGGGGTGCTGTGATTGGGGAGGGAAAACATTAGGAGAAATACCTAATGTAGATGACGGCGGGATGGATGCAGTAAACCACCGTGGCATGCGTATACTTATGTAACAATCCTGCACAATCTGCACATGTACCCCAGAACTTAAAATATAATTTAAAAAAAATTAAAGAAGCATATTATCCACAATTTTAGAACAATAAAGTAAAAGAATAAAGTGAATTTCTTACAGTCAAATATTTTTAAAATGCATCTGATAATGAACTTTTATCTAAATACAAAATCTCAAAAATAAGAAAACAATACCCAATGTTAAAATAGGCAAGAGATGTGAATGACAGCTTATCAAAGAAGATATATGATAACGAATAAACATATAAAAAAATTCTCACGTCATCAAGAAATTGAGAATTAAAACAGGTGCAATACTATGACATCCCTATTAGAATGGTTAAAATCCAAAAAACTGAAAACATCACATGCTGATAAAGATGTAGAGCAACAGGAAATCTCATTCATTGCAAGTGAGAATGCAAAATGGTGCTAATCACTTTGAAAGATGGTTGCAGTTTCTTGCAAATTTAACACAATCTTATCATAAGATCCAACAAGTGTAGTCCTAGATATTAATACTAACTAATTTTAAAGCTTATGTCTATGTAAAAACCTACACATGAATGTTTATATTAGCTTTATTCATAATTGCCAAAAATTGGAGCTGCAAGGATGTTCTTCAATAGATGAATAAATAAACAAATGATGGTACATTTATAAACTGTAATGGTGGATATATGACATTACACATTTGTCAAAACCCATTGAACTTTACTACACAAAGATTAAACTTTAATGTATACAATTTAAAAAAAATTTAGGTGGTCAGACAATCCCAGGAAGGAATGTAAATTGTGACAAAAAAATCTAATTATATTAATAACACGTTAAGCAACCTCACTGAAGGGGATGGGTGGAAAAGATACTCATCCAAGTAACACTGAAAGTGAGTAGTCTGTAAGCCCAAATGCAAAGAGAACTGTACATAAGCACTATGCTCTACTTGATAAAGTTGTTTCCCATAAG